CAGTTTTCCAATTCTACCATATCAAGAATTAAACATTTTCCATTTAATACATTTCTAAAATCCTTGTTTCATCCTCTTGAAAATGTTGCATTTCATTTCTTGGTGTTTTAACAAAATTTGAGAAAATATATTGAAGTTTAGGAACTTCGTAGCACACCCTGTACTGAACTCCTCGCAACTGCCTGTATGCCATTATTCTCTCCGCAAGGACACCCTCGATGGACCACGGACCCAATCAGCAACCATCGGACAACTGGTACTGGTTTTTTTCTATTAATATTATGTTCTAATGTCGAATTGTGCGTAAGGACTGTATGTTTCAACTAATGTCGGACCTTTAATTATAATATATAACCATAAATTCCTTTGAAGTTTTGGTAAGGAGGCAAGTGAAATCTTCAAATTTTTGAGAGGAAACATTCAAATCTTCTTCATAACTTTTCTAGTTTTAATCTTCACATTAACGATGATAAGAACCCACTCAGCTTGCTCCTCGCAGTTCTCCATCCGCATCATCCTCTCATAAATCAAATTCACATTTCCTTTTGCCAAAAATTTTATCTTACCACGCTATCTAGTACTTTATCCATAAATGCTGATGATCATGTCAAAATTAAGGTTGGAAATGCAAAAGCTATAAACATCCAAAAAGATTTCGACAATTTTCGAGATTCCCTTAGAGTTCTTGTTAGCTCTTCTTTAGTCATATCTGCACCCCCGGAATTTAGCGGCTTCGCATAAACTCGTTAGATCAATCATATGGGACTTTAATTTATAGCTATATAACCAAGAGAAATACGAATTTCTATTCTTTGTGATCTTTTTGCTGGAGTTTCAAAAAAACCCTTTAAAAACTACACAAAATTTTACTACACCTCAGGCAGAAGAACTTTGATTATTCACTTATAAAGTAGAACTTTGAAGAGAAAAGATCTTTGAAAGTGTCCCTCTTTTTCAGTCATTTCTACAAATTTCCATTATTGACTATTTCTAATTTTAGTGTCGTTATAAGCATTCTATGTTGCATTTTATATTTGACAAAAGACTTTCTCTTCTAAATTCGCGTCCCTATAAGTTTTTAGGCCCGCTCTTGAGCTCGTCTATATTATTCGTCCTCGAGAGCGTTTGTACTCGTGATGATTGGCATAAGCTAGTTCCTTAATAAGGGGAAATAGTTTAGG